TATGTACATATACACATAGGTGCTGTTGCCTCCCTCTGTCTTTTTTACAAATACTTTCACGGTAACTGCTCTGATGAGCTGTTTTCGCTGGCTCTCAGACTTCATGAATTTAAGCATTCAACTAGGCTGGCATCTCGCTCTTACCCTTTCGCTGTCGAAACTGTTAAATATAACCGTCTCTTCTACTCCAATAGTTTCATGTCTTGCACTTCTCACCTGTGGAACTCCCTCCCCAGTTCTTGTTTTCCTGATAGCTATAATCTCCAACTATTCAGATGTAATGTCAATCGACGTCTCCAGATGCCTTGATCTATCACCTATCCTTCTCTTCATCCTTTCCTCTATCACTCCTTATTACTCTCGCTCTAAATCTCTGTAACCCCTTGCGTGCTAGTGGCCTCCCGACTTGCTTGGGGTGGAATTTGCTTTAAAAAAAAAATGAGAGATTGCTAAATATTGATGCATTTAATGTGTCAGTTACAGAATAATATTTAAGAAAGAAAGGAGGAGTATGAGCAAGCTTAGAAATGTGTTTATAAGTTTATATCATCTCTTACTTAGCCTGGCCTACCATGAATCTTGTTTGTGGAGATGGTGTTCTTGCTTGAGTTCAGCTTTGTAAATTTTGGTTGTTCAGAAACTATGTCTTTCTCAGTCTGCCTGCTTCGTAAACGGTTAGAGGACTCTGAGGAAGCTGTGATCTTTATGCCTGCATGCATTGTAAATGGTTAGAGAACTCTGTTCGGAAGCAATGGTCTTTATGTCTGCCCATTTCATAATTGAAGGATGTCATCTGTTCAGAAGCTATGGTCACCATCTAAGTCTGTCTGCTTCGTAAATAGTGGTGGACGTCCTTTCTGTTTGGAAGCTACATCTTGTCTCCCTCATGAACCCTCTCCAGTCTCAATCTCCACCCCCTGCGTGCCAGTGTTGAATCATTAAGGGGCGTTAACCTATATTTTCTATAGATTTTTTTTTTTTCAAAATAATTAGTGTATTTTTAATTATACTTGTTTCTGCTTCACCTTTGTTCCAAATATGGCAGCAAATCAACATGTGTAGAGTGAGATGCCATGGTTAAATGTAAATAAATGGCAGAATTGCCCAACAAACAGAATTGATAAAGTTTGCAATAAACACTAAAAAGAAAAGAACAGGGCAAAAATAATACAAAACAAGCAAAAAATATATGCAAGACAAAGTGTTAGGAATCAGGGAAAGCAAATAGTATAGCAAAAAGTTCACAAACTGAGAATTAGGGATTGACACACAAGAGCAGATTTGGATGAACGAATACATTGTTCTTACTTCAAGGCAAGGCAGACTGGGACTAAGTCATGAAACCAAGAACTAGCCTATTTTATTGGCTCAGAAGAAATCCCAGGGCAAAAAACAATATAAACCAAGAAAACAATATATGCAAGGCAAATCAACAATAATAAAGCAAAAAGTTCACAAACTAAGAATTAGGGGTTGACACACAAGAACAAATTTGGATGAATGAATACATTGTTCTGACTCAAAGCTAGACAGACCAGGAATGAGTCATATGAAATCAAGAACTGGCCTATTTTATTGGCTCAGAAGAAATCCCAGCATGCATTTGTGTGCTCCTGCCTATAAATTGGAGAAGGGAAATTATTTTTGCAATCACTCCTAATAGGATTTGAACCAACAGTGTGCATTTATTTATTTACCATCAAGTCATGTGATGCATACAGCCTTTTCACCTTCCAAATAGTTTATAAAAAAAGTTCTAATGTAGTATAGTGATTTGTATAAATATATGTTGTGTTATGCATATTTAAATTTAGTTAATAATGTTGTTATAATTTATTATGAATGTTTATTATTTTTCAAACACTTAATATTTGGAATATAATATGCAAGTGTTTGTTTATATAGGTGGATTGATATAAGAATGTGTATTGATAATAAATATTGAATTTCCTATTTAAAATGTCATAAAAAAAGGTCCTAGGTAAAAAAAAAAAAAAAAAAATCTAATTTTAATGCAATATGGTACTGCATTCAGCAGGTGTTCAAGGTACAAGATGCTCCTAAATTGGTTGGGGTATTATATATTATTTAAATCCCATCTAAGGAACACACTTACATACATACAAGATTAGAGTTTTGCTATTAGACATTTTTGGAGGCTTTTTCTATAGAGCCACTTTTTGTGTGTCTTTTTGACGTATCTCTACAACATTTATTTACATATTTGTTAATTTAATGATTAAATTTTGAATATTGCTACACACACACCTCTTTTTCTTCTATGTGTTGTGTCCCTTCAGGACGCTGGTGATAATGCCATGAAGATGTAAGGAGATACTGGGAGAGAAAGAGAATGAAAAGACGTTAAGTGAAACTAGAAACCCAATCCTAAACAGGAAACAAGGGATAAAACTCTATTCTTGTTTAAAAGACCAGGGATGAGTATAAATGAAACAAATTAGAGAATATGAATTTGACGGTGGTACCTATGATTATTAGAGCACTTGGAACAGTGCATAAGAACCTAGAAAATGAAATGGAGGAACTGGAAATCTGATAGAGAATTAAGATCATCCAGAAGGCAGCTTACTAGAAATAGGTAAAATAATGAAGGGACTTGATCTCATTATATAATTCTTTTTTTTTTTTTTACTAGTGTTCCCTCTGTACAAGCCCCAAGGGCCACTCAAGGTAAAGATTTACTGAAAGCGGTTGTTGTGTGAGGAGCACAATTTATATAGATATGTGGGAAAGATAAAAGTTAACCCTAGACTTGAAGGAATTAAGATTGTAGTGGTTGGGAAAGCATCCTCTTAGGATTCTGTACCACAATTTAACAGTTCTTTGGAAGACACTATCTGAGTGGAACTTACTCCTTACAAAGAGAACGTACAGTGAAATGTTATCAGATATGAAAACAGGTAGGTTTGATTAATTGAGGAGAAGAGGTGGATTCATGCTTTTCCCAAGAGTATTTGCTCGTAAGTGAATATAACAAACCCAATTGGAATTGGAACTTTGTATTCTAATTAACAATTCCGAGCCATTATCTATTACGCCAGCTACACATCCAAAGTGGAAAGTATATATTAAATCTGTTGCTAAGTCTGCAGCTAAGAAAGTTCACTATGCTGTTCTAGACAATTTTTCTTGCCAAAATCTATCTTAATATTTATAAGTCTACCATTCATCGTTGCTTTGAATATTGCTGCCACATCTAGGTGCTCTTGCTATATCTTTAGAGATTCTTGATAAAATCCAAAGAAGAATCTGCAATGTTATTGGTCCTGACCGGGCATCTCAGTTTCAGTCACTTTCCCACTGACCTAACATAATTTTCCTGTGTCTTTTCTATAAATATTTTCATGGTAATTGTTCTCATGAACTTTTCTCTGTTGTATTCATTGTAAATATTCATTGCAGTTTCATTTTTAAAAGTTATTATTTTTTTCCTCACCCTCCAGAGACAAATTGTACATATAGGAACTAGTTGAGACTTTGAGGTATTATGGTGACTGTAGTAAGAATGGTAAATAAGAATTTGTTGTTTTGGTGTAAGGGCTACTGTGGTATGTTTGTGTCAGTAACTGTGACTATCTAAGTTTAAGATAAGACAGATTGAAGACCAGCTTTCCCCTACACCCACCTTTTGGCCTTGTGCCACATTTTTGTATTAAAACACAATTCTGTTTACCTCGGGGTTCTTGATAAGATCCAAAGACAGATATGCAAAGCAATTGGCCCTGATCTGGCATCTCATCTGCAGTTGCTCTCTCACAGATGTGTCATCGCCTCTCTCTGTCTTTTTTACAAATGCTTTCATGGTAATTGCTCCGATGAGCTGCTTTCGCTGGTTCCTAGGCTTCATGAATTCAAGCATCCTATAAGGCTGGCATCCCACTCTCACCCTTTCACTGTTGAAACTGTTAAATGTAGCCGTCTCTTCTACTCCTATAGCTTCATATCTCACACCTCTTGCCTGTGGAACTCCCTTCCCTTTTCCTGTTTCCTTGATAGTTATAATCTCCAACTATTCAAATGTAATGTCAATGGACATCTCCAGTTGCCTTGATCTATCTACTATCCTTCTATTCATATTTTCCTCTATCACTCCTATCTGATCTTGCTCCAAATCCTCTGTAACCCCTTGCATGCTAGTGGCTTCCAGCCTTGGTTGGGGTGAAATGCTTATTAAAGAAAAAAAAAATAAATAAATATTATTTTCCTCTATGGTACCTGGATTTTATAAATTTAAGCGGTAAGGTCTCATCATTTTGCAGTTGAAATAGCAAGATGTAAGCAAGTTCTATGCTAACAATTTCTTCTGTCACACTTCTCGTTAGTGGAACTCTCTTTCAGCCTCTTGCTCTCCTGTCAACTGTGATCTTCAAAAATTTAAATGCAATGTCAGTCTTCTTAATTCTTGTTCTTTTATTGTCCTCTCTCCTTAATAGTATATTTTTTTTTATATTCCCTAACATTCAGTAATCTCTTGTATCCTAGTGGCTTTATTGCTTTGCTTGGGGTGAAATGATAAAAAAAAATGAAGAAATCTCTCAAGATCTGAATTTTTTTTTCCAGCTTTATTAGGTTTTTATCTTGGTTGTCTGTTGCAACTGCAACATTTATGATCTAACAAATTTTTTTCTTGTTGAAGATGATTAGATCTAACTTGGATTGCTGCTAGTGCCATTGTCTGTAATTTATTTCTTTTATTTTAATGAGAAATGAAGCACAAAGTTAGCATTAATCTCAAAGATTATTAAAGATATCTGCAGGTTAAGCCAAAGAAAATCTTTATCAAGAATTAGGTTGATATTTCATTGCCTCATCGTTACGCACACATTCCACGTAATGCTAAACACTCAGCCAAAAAACCTAAATTCTATTGAAATGCAGATTGACAAAAATCCTTATTTACCTATGTGCTGGAAGTGAAACTTGGCTTTCTGTTTAACAATTCTGAGCCATTATCCATTACACTACCTGCACATCCAAGTTTACAGCACCTGGTATTCCCAAGTGGTCACCCATCTCGGTATTGATCAGGCTTTATATTGCTTAATTTCAGTGATGGTATGGGAGCTGGTGTTTCAACATGATATGGCTGTAAGCCAACTGATTAAAAGAACAGAATGGACAAAATGATGAAGTCATTTACTGATAAGTTTAAAGTGACAAAACTTTTTTTTTTTTTTTTAAAGTGTCTCGTCTATATTTATCACCACTTTAATGTCAGCTGACATTCTTTCTGCTGTCTGATTCTGATACAGTTCAGTGAACGCTAATTGAGGTGAAATTGTTTTTCCACTGACATTATTATCTGTTTTGGGGTACTTATCCTTAATACTTATGTATTGGCAGGGTTGTCAACTTGGTTTACTCTTGAAAGCCCTAATGCTAGTAACGTTTGAGTATCAATTATGTCCTCAAGGACACATGGCCCAGTGGATAAAGATGTTGGTTAGATCCAGTGACTAGACCCAAAGAGTTGTGTGTTGAATAACAAGCCACAGCAGTGGTGACCCAAAAACTTGGAGAGTTGAGTTGAAGGGAAATAACTGAGACATCCAGAAGAAACATGGAACTAGAACAATCTACCCCGGGTCAGTTCGAAATTCTCATCACCTGAAAAGGCCAGAGTGTACAACGGTCGAAATGTTGTGAATATGGCAATGAAGATGAGGATAACAGTCTGAATAGTGTAAATAATACAATAATATTTAACTTTTATATTCTTAAGTCACATATGCATTTGTGAATAATATTAGTAGCAAAGTGGTTAGGACCTCAGGTTATGGCCATATATTGTTGAAACACTGATTCTTGTTCAATCATTGGTTAAGCAATGTCAAGTCTAGTCAGTACCTAGATGGGTGACTAGTTGGGAATACCAAGTGCTTTAAGTTAGAATGTGCAGGTGGTGTAATAGATAATGGCTTGGAATGAGAAATTGGAGAGCTGAGTTCAAATTCCAGTTGGGTTTGTTACATTCATTTATGTGTAAATACTCTTGGGTGATTATGAATCAAAAAGAGATAGGATTGCTCAAGCACATCACATCCGACCCTATCAGCATGCATTGGGTCAGTATGGCAGTGTAACAGTCCCATTCCTCAATATGAATCTGTGGAAGGCCTCTGTCTGACAAAGGATCATCACATGCTGAGAAGATGATTCTGGCAAACATTGTGAGTATAACAACCAAGATGAGGATGTTGGTCTGAATAGAAAGGCATATAATAATGATAATTCCTCATCTCAAAGATCCTGGGAAACATTGTGAGTATAACAACCAAGATGAGGATGCTGGTCTGAATACAAAGGCATCTAATAATGATAATTCCTCATCTCAAAGATTCTGGCAAACATTGAGAGTATAACAACCAAGATGAGGATGCTGGTCTGAATACAAAGGCATATAATAATGATAATTCCTCATCTCAAAGATCCTGGGAAACATTGAGAGTATAACAACCAAGATGAGGATGCTGGTCTGAATATAAAGGCATATAATAATGATAATTCCTCATCTCAATAATTCTGAAAGAACTGGAGTCATATGCATTTATGCATTAGAACAGTAGCACAGTAGAGGAACCTTATAAGCCAGGACTGTCTTGATACCAATGAAATGTGGGGCTGATGGCTAAAAAAAATAATGGAAAAATAAATCAAAAGTAAGTTATGCTACTGAAATGGCAGAGCCAGTGTCTTGTGAATTTACAGAAGATTAGCATATGTTGATTGATTCTGCATATGCAGCAATTTTTTCCCATTTAACTACAGAAAAAAAAATACATTTGTGCTGTCCCGCAATAAGAACTATTGATTATAATACCCCACCCTTTACTGGATGAATTACACCCCTGGGAAGTGCTGAAGAATATCCTAGATAAAACCTAAGGATAAAACCAACATAAAAAAAAAAGAAGAATGGTTCTTGTTTCATTTCCAAATTACATTCTTTTATTTGATAAACTATTACTTTGGTTCTCAACAATTTCTTACTCCATACTCACTTTTCTCCATATTTCATAATATCATTCCCCACTTCCAGGATTGCGTCTTGGGTATGACGATAAACTACGTCCAACAGCAGGGCTTCTGATTAGGAGGCTTTGAGGAGTGTGGAACCTCCTCTTAATTGCTGGCATTCCAAGGTCCACCCTGACCCGAGGTAGTAGCACCTGTTACGGTCCCAGCTATAGGCAGATAGTTAACCCTGAAACTGAGGTAAAAGGCATTATAAAAGTGTAAAAATAGGTTTTAATACCAAAAATACTTTGTAAAAAATTATTACCAGAAATAAATTTTTGAAGAAAAAAAATATTACCAGCAATATGTTTTTGAAAAAATCTATTACCAGCAATATGTTTTTGGAAAAATAATATTACCAGCTATACAGTTGTCAGCGTTAAATGTCCCATTGAGGTTGATATGCTGTAAACCAAACCAAACCAAACCCAACTTCCAGGATTGTCTAAGAGAGTGGTTCCCAACAACCAATTTTTGACCTTTAATCTTTTCACCATATGATGTCATTTCCCAGAATTCTCTGAAATAGTGTCTCTCAACAACCATTTTTTGCCCATATTTCTTTTTCACCATATTTCAAGATGTCATTTCCCATTCCCAGCACTGTGTGACTGAAAAGGAGCATTGTTGAATTATAGTTGGAGAAAGATCAATATTCCAATATCTTGAATCTGTGAATGTGTAGTCTCAATTTCTCTCCTTTCTGAAGCCATTGTTCAGTTCCATCATTATTTTCCCCATGAAAAATCTGAACTGATTGCATATTCATCACTTCTGTTTGATCTCACCTATTCTAGTTGAACAATGGTCTCTTCCACTTGAAATTTTAATATCAATGTCATGGCTTCCATTTTGAGTTTTTGCAATCACTTTTCAGTTTCATATCAAACTATTTTTAGAATGTAAATTAAAATGTTTTACCAATTGATATTGGCATCGAGAGATGTACAAGTAACATAGTCGATATTGGCACAAAATGTGGAATTGGTGAGACAAGTTCAAATTCCAGCCTGTTCTGTTGTGCTCACATTTACACTAATGCCCTTTGTCTTCATTGTAGTAAGCTTTTCCATTTATGATTAGTAAATTTAGTTTTTACTTAATAACAATATTACCTAATCACTACTAATTAATACAGAATTTTAAAAGATTTAAAACTTTATAAATTATTATAATTAAAATTTAAAAACAAATTCATTTTTCATTGAAAATTTTTTTTTTCTTATAACAATAATATCCATAATATATTCAGAAAAGCAATTAAAAGTTTTCTTAATTAAATAATGTCTTAGTTTTATTGCATTTTTATTTTCGGATTCAGAGGGCTCAGATGTCAATCTAATATTATCAGAAATTTACATGTCAAACCTAGTTCGTCAATGTAAGATTTTGTTGGACAACAGACAGAAGTTGAGTCTGCTCTGACCCCCTGTCTTGGCTAGTTGGTGAGTGGTTTATATAGCAGGCTGGGATGTTCCATTTTACTACTTGGGCAAGTCTATTCTCTAGGTCTTGATTTGCTGGTGACTTTGGTGTGGATACTATGCTCAATAAATATCCATCATTACACCGTGAATGTTGTCTGTATTGAGTTACAGCCCACTTTGGGATCCTCGGCGTGGTGTAATGGTTAGCAAGCTTGTCTTGCTAAAACAGTTACAACTGGTTAGTGAGTTTGAACATCACTAGATGCTCCATATTTTGGCCTTGTGCCACATATAAGCTACGCTTAGAAAATCAAAGTGTGTAAATTGCTATCTCGAGTGGTTTGTAACACCAAAAATCATCTCTCAGTTGTGCCTCTGTCTTTGGGCAGAGTCCACTTAGGGAGGACTCCGTCAAAGGACAGAGTTGCAACTGAGGAAAATTATACTGAGAGGTGCTGGCCCTGGGTAACAGTTGCCAAAGGCTGTGCCCTCTCATTGCACTAGAGAGAGGGATTGGTGCATGCACTGAGGCCAGCACAATCAATAGTTGCAGGGGCTGTGGACAATTTTTGCTCCTAGCCCAGGTGTATGTGCTCGGGCACCCACTGTAAAAACTGACCTTGTGTCACAACTCATCTTAGTGGGGAGACAGAGTAAATACCTTGAGTTACAGCCTGTTTTTTTTTGTCTGCCAACTGGATGCTAGTTGGGAACTTCCCTGTGAGAAGGAGTATCATATTTTTGATTCTTCAGTCAAGTGTTATATGTGGTATGTGCTTGGGCACTCATTTGGATTCATGACTGACAAGTCAGAAGATTTCCCACTGTCATTTCTTTTTGTCCTAAACTGGTTGTCAAACAAGGCTATAAAACTCAGTCCATCTGTCTATTCAACCTATAGCAGGGTGGATAAGAAATGAATTCATACCTTGCCTAAGGGTATTTGCACATAATTGAATGTAACTACTCACACAGAATTCAAACTCTGGTCTGTGATTTCTCACTTCAAGCTGATATTTATTATGCTAGACAACACATCCCAATCCTAGAAAATGAAATATTAAAAAAACATATCCAAAACCAACAATATAAGTTGGCTATGTTGACAAAATATTAACTAACAATACAGAAGTAAAAAAAAAAATCTGAACTATATTTGAAAATAGCTGTCCTTAATTTTACATTAAATAAGTATAGGTAACTTTTTATTGGAGATACTGAAATCAAACTGATGCAATAATTTAGATATCTGGGAAATGTTCAAACAGAGGATGGAAAATGAGACATAGAAATCTGAATTGAGATAGTGAAAGATGCCTTCCAAAAGCTGAGCAAAGTATTAAGAAACAGAAAAATAATAGAAACAAAGAAAGAGTACTGAATTGTTATGTAGTATCAACTACATAACAATTCAGTACTCTTTTTTTTTTTATTTCTATCGATGTCCTCCTATATGGCAGTGAATGCTGGGCAATCTTTTCACAGATGAAGAAGAGATTTGAAGCAATAGAAATTTTTGTTATAAAGAAGGATGCTTGAGAATACCATGGATCAAACATGTGAGAAATGATGAAGTTCTAGAGACAATGACAACAAAAAGGACACTCATAATTAATCTGAGGAAGATATAGTTGAAATTTCTGGAGCA